TGCTGGAGGTGTGCTGGCGCCGGCACTTCCTGCGGGGCGGCGCGGAGCCGCGGCCGGCGCTGCCCTGGCGCGCCTACCTCAGTGGCTGTCACCCGGGCTTCGGGCCGCTGGGCGTGGCGCTGCGGGGAAACCTGGCGGCCCAGTGGTGGGACTCGGCGCTGGCTTTCCGGGAGCAGGTGTTCGCCGTGGATGCCCCGCTCCACGGCCCGCCCGCCGCCGGCTCTCCGCGGGCCGGGCAGGGTCTCCGGCTGCTGCATTCGGAGACGCTGCGCGAAGCCCTCTGGGGCAGGGGCTGTAGCCAGGAGCCGGGCGGACCGTCTCTGGAAGAAGTGCTAGGGAGCGCGGGGACGCTTCGTGAGAGCCTACTGCCCGGTAGGTGCCTCGTCCGTCAGCGCAGGGGTGAGGCTGTTCTCCGGAGAGATCTGGACAGCCCGCTCGCGTTTTTCTTGCGGGGAGCGAAGCAGCAGCACTTCAGGGAATTTTCCAGTTGCGTTAGCGCGCTGGGAAGGTTTCGTCTGCGTACTGTGAGTTTGTGTCCTTTTCAGGGACCTGAGCGGCGTGAACGCCGAAGTGCGCATCGGATGCTTTCCGTTGTAATTGGGGGAAAGGCACATTAAAATCGCAGTTGCCAAAGTACCCGGAGGAATCGGGCTACAGACTGCTGAGCTAATCTCTGCAAAACATTAACGCTAGTGGGACTCCACATATAAACAGTGCGGGTATCATATGTGCTACATTTGCTCTCGGTAGAATTAAAAAAATAACATTTTTTCCTACGGCTACTAAAATTAGCTGTTTGTCTTTCGACAGGTGCCTTGGCACAATATGTTAGCTGCATAGAATTGGTGAACAAAAGACTGCCTTGTGGCCTTGCTCAAATTGGAGTATGCTTTCACTCTATTCCAGAAAGTGAACAACACAACAAAAAGCTTACAAGGTAGAGTAGTAGAGAGATTAATCCTTTTCCATACTTAAGCCAAGTGTTTGCACTTGTTTCACTTTTGGATTATTTTTGAATACTGTCTCTTGCTTTTTCCCTGTTATTTTTGAAGGAGTTAACTTGCTGACCTTGCTATTGTTTAAAGAATAGGCGAAAGGACCACGTCTTTGCTTGCATGGTTTAGTTCTCCTAGAACTGCAGGACAGTGGCTCGATTACTGGTTACGCCAGAGGCTCCAATGGTGGAGAAAGGTAACGGCAGTGTAGCCATGGGAAATCTTGGCCTGCTTCTTTATATCTTAGAGAGAGGGGGGATTAGACACCCTGGTCGGTCTTATGGTGTTATATTGTTAGCCTGTTCTTGTCACTGACATACATATATTTCTCGTGAGAAACCAAAAAACTATTTCAGTTTATGACAAGCCTGTTAAGTAGTTTATAATGTGACTTGCAGAAGGGCAAATGTTTTGTCTTTGTAAGTGATTTGAGATCAAAATGCTGTAAAACAACAGAGAGATTTGGGCTGTAATTTATAAAAATCCTTTGCTGAAAATCACAGACCACCTTGCATTACAGACTTGTTTTTTGTAGTTAATACAGCACGTACAGTAGTGATCATCTCATATCTTTTATTTTCAGTTTGCAGTAGGCCCATCTAACTTCACCAGCAGTGACTTTCAGGATGAAGAAGGAAGAAGAGGATTTAATTTACATTACAGATTTCCTTGGGGGACAGAAACAATAGAAACATTGAAGAACCTTGGTGATACTGAACTGTTACAGATGTATCCAGGGGATAGCTCAAAATTACTTGTAAGGTTTACTGTATTAAAAATTTTTTCTGATAAAGATGATAATGTGTGCGAGAAATGGTTTCTTTGCTGGTCCACTTGCTTAGCATGTGACTGTCTTTTTATTCTCTTGTTGTAAAAGCAGTACAATTGATACTCTGCAGTCAGACCTTTGTTTTCAAAAGCAGATAAAATCGTGTTTTGGAGTTCTTTTGCAAGGAGTTAATTCTTTGAAAATAGAAATGAGCTATGTTGACAAGACAGCTGTTTCAGCTGCATAGCCTTTACCTGTATCTGTGAGTAGATGTCAAGACAAAGTCAAGTCTGTGTTTTGCAGTGTTAAGTTCGCATCAAAAAGAACCTGTAAATGTTTTTTCTTTCTGTAGCTTTTCCAATTCCATATATGTAGAAGTTCATGTGGATTAATGGATGATAAACACTGCAAATGGCTTTATAGAAGTTGCCACACTCAGAAGGGGGAATGGGCTAGAGGGAAACCTTTCCACTGAATATATTGGAGAGGGACAAACTTCTAGTGAATGGCAATGTTTGAAAAGTCAGGCTGAACAGATAAAAGGAGCGTAACTTGGTATTTTACCAGCAAATTGCAACCTTCTCCTCCTCATGACAGTCCTGTCTGTCTTTCCTGGTTCTGCAGCTTATTTGTATACAGAAGGCAGAAGACTGTAATGTAACCTACAAAACTGTGGGTTACGTAGTTGTTTTGGGTTCGCGTGGCGGGCTTTTTGGTGGGGACAGATCCTTGTGGTCTCTTGGAAGTCATCTAGAAACCTCTGAAAGAAAATGCAGAGTTTCAAGTATATTGGCCATAGGTTTAAATTTATGATCAGAGAGGCAGGACAAGAAAATAATCCCATCCTGCTCTGATCTTCTGCTTTCCCCAGTGTTACAGTCTTACCTAGTTACTCTTACACTTTTAAGATTGCTGGTAACTTTTAAAAATATATGTCTGATTGTATTTTAAATGTAATAAGGGTGCTTGAGCTCAATGCCTCATTATACTTCTAAAGTAAACAAAAGGCTTTTGGGGACAGTCTTTGAGGTACACCTTTGCTGGTTTTTTCCTCTTCAGGGCCGAGATGGAAGGAAGAATGTTATTCCTCATGTTCTGTCTGTGAGCGGAAATCTGGACCGAGGAGTATTAGCATATCTCTTTGATTCTCTACAGCTAGCTGAGAACCCATTAACAAAAAAGAAAAATTCACAGAGAAAGGTAACTTTCTATAGAAAGTGTAAGGAAGGATGGATGATGGAAGGCAGGGATAGGTCAAAGTACAAAGCCCACAGACAATGTGGTAAATTCAAGCATAGAAATACCTCCCTTTTCCACATGGCTATCTTCTGTTCCCTTCCCCAAGAGGTGCAGACAGAACGCCTCTCACTGGTAGCAATAGGCTGGTCCCATGGGACTGCCTCTGCAGTCCTTTTCACCCACATAAGCAATTTTTCTGTCATTCTGAGGTCACCGTTCCTGCTTTACCTTCTTTCTCTCTGATGAGTAGGTAGGCTCTTGCCGTGCAAGTGATGAAGGAGTCAAGAGGAACTGGAATGTAGCTGCTGTGCATGGGAAAGAGGAGTTTGCCTCTTCTGGCAGCATTTGAAGGTTGCTGAGAAGAGTAGAAAAAGTGGGTCGTGCTTGGTAGTGGGGCATTTCCCCAAGGACCATCATTATTCCCACTTTTACCCTGGTTTTCTGGAGTTAGAGTACTAGCCTTCAGAGAGCACTTGTTAGTCAAACAGTCGTTTGGTCTTTAAGACCAGGCAGTAGACTGGATGGTAACTGTCTGCTGGGCTGTCTCTGATCACTCTGGCTTCAATAAAGATGATGGAGCTCTGCTAACAAAACTTCATCTCTTTTCTGGGCCAAAATGGAGTAATTTCTGCCATGCTAATCTAGCTGGCATGTGTGCTGGTTATATAAAATACAGCTTTTAATTCAGGATTGTGCTATGAGAAATTTCTTGCATGTTTAGAACCTTAATTTCAGTGAAAAAAAAATTTAATATTTCCTAGTTCTGTTTAGAATTTCACACCAAATGCATTTAGTAATCTGTTGCTTTTTGTAAAATTATTAGGTACTTAAGCTTCATCCTTGCTTAGCACCTCTTAAAGTGGCCTTGGATGTAGGAAAAGGTCCAACAACAGAGCTGAGACAGGTAGGTTGTAAGAAAGTATTTTAATTTTGAGCACTGACTCTCCATGTAACCTTCTGTTGCAATTCAGACACTGTTTATGTTGGGGAGAATCATGCTGCTACTTTGATTCTCAGAGATTCATGGTTGTACATATTTTACAGTGCTGTTGTGCAGCTTGTGAGTTGTAGCCAAAGGAGACCACTGCAGACAGTGGGTAGTAGATGCCTGCCTTGCATTAACATGCTGCCTTCAGTACTATTAGAGTTGATAACTTGTTCCATGCAAAATTAAGGAAAATAAATAATACAAGCCCTCTCAGCTTCTGGATCTTCCAGAATCATCTTAATGCATGGGTCACATCTTTAGAAGGATTTTTTAAAAGTTTTTAAGTCAGTCATTAAGCTGGTCCCCACAGAAGGGGGAAAACTTACATTGGCATGTTTTTAAATATAAATGGAGATTTAATTGCCAGGCTGCTTTCTACTTTGAGATTATTTCAGCCAGAAAATTAACACCAGCTAGGAATGCTAATACCACACATGCTAGAATTTTAGTGGTTTCATTGTATAGGATTTCAAGCCCTCAAAGACTGTCTTTTAACATTTGTTTTTAAATAAACACAGGTTTGTCAAGGATTGTTCAATGAACTGTCAGAAAACAGAATTTCCGTATGGCCGGGTTATCTTGAAACCATGCAAGTATCTATGGAACAGCTTTATACAAAGTAAGGAGAAACAGTCTTTTGTAAATTAAACTATGAAGGTGAAAGATGACTTTCTGTGGACTAGCGAAAATATGCCTCTTTTCAGTAAGAAGTCATCGAGTGCAGTAACCACATGATTGAAGGCATGTATCCCGAACTATAAACTTGGATTCAATTAGCTTTATTACAAAGAGCAATTTCAGATCATTCATTTTTTAAATTAAGTGAAGTAAAAGCCTTTCACATGTTATTGTTGTTTCTCTGGAACTGTGAAATGCCTTTTAGAGACTCTCCTATTGAAAATACATTTCATAAGATGAGTCATAAGCTTGTAGAATTGTTTCCCACCCTCACCCCCCATTTTTGCATCTGGACTGGTTCTGTTTCATTCTTAAGTACTATTTCAAATAGCACACTGTGTCTGGTCTTGAACTTAAAAGTTCTTCCAAGTCTGGAACCATTTACCTTTAGTGTATGTGATGGAATTATTTGTGCAGATAAAAACTACTATTCCAGTTGAGGGCTTCATATATGATATGTTGATCAGGAGTGAATTTTGAGCATATCGCTGCTCATGTCAGCGGATCTTGAGCATAGTGATGAGTATTTTTTCCCGAGAGAAAATAAATATGACTATTTGTTCTGTGCAGTAGTCTTCAAAGTGAGTCTGGCTATTAAATAACAGAAGAAAGATATATTCCGCTTCTACAAAAATACTCTTGTAATAGGTCAGCAAATAACATTCTTATGTACTAAAGTAACTAAATAATTTAAAGAAATGTAATCAGGAAAGCAAGGAATGGCAACAAGAAAACTGGTGTCTTCACACTGGACTTAGTGCAGTATAGCAAAAATAAGTATTTACAGTTTATGGTCATTTGTACATAACTTATCTGAGTTTTTTGTACACCAAAAGCAGTAACAGGTGTGCTCTTTTCTTTGTAGGTACGATGAGATGAGTGTTCTCTTCATGGTCTTGATAACTGATGCCACTCTAGAGAATGGAGTGGTCCAGCTGAGAAGCAGAGACACCACCATGAAGGAAATGATGCACATTTCTAGGCTGAAAGACTTTTTAACTAAGTATGTAACATCAGCCAAAAATGTGTAAACTTAAATTAATTGAATAAAAGGAATTTCTTAAACATCTGTGCCTGAACTTGCTTCTACGGTGTCATGGACTCAATGGTTTCTCTGCAAATGGTTCTGCTAAAACTTGGTGGTGCATGTGTTTTCTGTGAAATCTAGACCTTCTAGGTATTCCAGGTTACCTTGAAAAGAGGGAAGAGAGAAACTTGTCCCTTGTTAGCAGGGCTAACCATATTCTTTTTCATGTCTTCAGTTTTACTATCTAATTGAAAATACTCCATCCTAGCCTAAAAATTCATCTTTCATCTGTGTATTGCTGACACAATTATAGTCTCTGCTGGAAAATGGTATTTTATATAAAAGACTTCAAAATCTTAAATTTTTAATAACATCAGTATTTTTGTACTGTTTATAGGAATGTATGTTAATCACATGGCCTCAGTTGTTCAACATTTAAGCTACTTCATCTTGCACTTGATAAACATAAAAATCAGAAATACATTATCAAGAGTAACAGATGAAATAGAAATAAATTTTAGTTTTTGACAAGCATTTTTGTGGACGAAAAATGGCTGTACATAGAAAATGGTGGAAAAAGGCTAATGTGTGACCATATTTATGCTGTACCCAAGTGTTGTAGTCAGAATCAGATACAGGAGTTTGCATTGATATGAAATTGATTCTGATCTTCTGTAGACTTACTATGCGTGTACAGCTTGTTAAGTCACTGTATTAAAGTGCTTTAAGGTGTATGCAACAAGGCATGCAGCCACAGATAGTCATCAGTGTCATGAAACACAAGAACTTGCCTTAAAAATGTCTTCTGTTAACATGGTGCTTATTTAACTATGTACAGGTTATTTGTAACAATAATATTAATTGCTGCATAGCGTAATGCTAGATATAATGCAAGGTTAGCATAGTGTGACTGCATGACTTACTGAACTCATGGAATTCTACATAAGCGGGCTATGGAATGACATTAAAAGAACCCAGAAACATCTAAGAAACGGCCTGTAGCAGGATGGAGAATTTGTTTTGGAGTTAACTGTCCCAAAAATTAATTTTAGCATCCTATCCCTACTCTGAGAGCTGAAGTAATGTTGAACTGAGAAATAGCCATCCTTGCTGCTAGGTAACAGCAGATAGCAGGTACAGAGGCCAAATATGGATCCTCTAGTATGTGCCTAAGAGGACAACACAGTTGGGATTTTTTTTTTTAATACTTGACTAAAGCCTTTTGATTATCTTATGTTTGCATACAATCCAGTTTTTACTTCAGGAGAGTTGTTAAATATACAGGAACTTGGGGGTCTGGGTGAAAGCTTTACATCATTATTCCTTTCTGTTTATTAATCAGATGCATATAACGCCAGACTTTATATTGTGTCCTGTAGGATCTTACCTGACAGTGATTGCATTGTTTTGTTTCATTTTGGTTTTTATGGTGCTATTTGGGGAATAAGGTGCTGTTTGTCTAATGGGATTGCTACTGGAGTCTTTGTTAATTACAGTTTTTATCTGTTCTGCTTTTTCTTTTGAATTGAAGTCTTTAGAGATTATGACTTGGGAGTTTTGCTTGCTAGTAAAGAATGAGCTATATTGTCTGTCCACAAAATAATTAGGCCAGGAAACTACTATCTAAACATCATCTCTGTGCAGACTTGGTGGTATTTAAGACATCTGAGGATGGAAAGTTTCTTTAAAAATATGTGATTAAGTTAATCACGAGATCTTACCTTGTACTCAATGTCTGATGAAGACCTTTGAATAGACTGTAGCACATGCCGCCTTCTCTGCTAAAAGGCAGAATAACATAATTTACAATTCCTTTTTTGGTACAGAGGCACAACAGAAGAATTAATATACCATCAGCAACTTGGTCACTAATAACATCTCCTGCGTGGTTTCATAATGAGGCCATTGAATTTTTGGATCATAGGATGGTGATAGGCTTTTTACTTGGTTTTTTTTGTGTGCTTTTCCCCCTCAAAATTAAGTCTTAAAGTTATTTTAATTTCTCTGTAGTAAGCAAGCACTTTCGGTATGTAACTGCTACTATAAAACCCCTGCCCCCCCCCCCCAGCAAAATCCCCCCAAAACATATTTGTGCACATCAGATGTTCCAATATTATAGCTTGATGTTTTCACCTTTTTCATCTTCTCTTCTAATAACAGAAAAGTTGACATACTCTTCTTCTCGTTTAACAGGCTCTGTATTAAAGATGATGAACAGCAGTTAACTCAATGACAAGAGACTGACCAGATGGGGTTTTTGGTTTTGGGTCTTTTTTATAATAATCTTGAAACAAAGCAGTGAGATTCCATATTGAATATATGCTTTCTGTAGCGTTCATGGGCCTTATCAGAGGTATTGTCACTGTCCTTGCAGGCTATGTGGGTAGAGTGCTGATTGATATCTGGCATGAGCAGCTGCACAGAGCACTGAGCTAACACAGCAGAGCAGTCAGGATTCTACCTGCCTGCTACGTGAACAGGAAGGCAGATTTGTTCGGAGATAATTACTCCCCTTTTGATATTTAGAAACAGGAAACATAACACCTTTGCTGTTGGTTTGTTTCGGAGGTTTCTTTTTTGCTTGAAAATACTGATATTCATGTATAAGGCAAATTACAAGATAATAGCATCTTGGCTTTCATGTGATGTCTTCATTATTGTGTATTTTCTGCAATTGAAGTTGTACAATGTCTTAACTTAGGTCAGTTGCTTTGCTCATAATTTCAGTTTGAACTGACTTTGAGACTTGTCAAAGTTAAGAAACATGGAATAAAGAACTCTGTACTGAACAATCTTGAACAGATACAGGAGCTACGTAAGTTTTATTGTTCTACAACATGCATATAGCCAACTTTTGTCTCTTAGTAAATGGGCATGGCATCTCTGATCTACTTAACTGTCTTTTAATTTTGTTTTCCTTTGTAATGGCTACTTCAATCCTCACCATGAGTTACCAAATGCAGTTCTTCATTTTACTTCTGTTTACAGTAGATTTTTTTATAGAACTTCAATTAATTTAACTGGTTGCAGTGTTGGCTGCGTGGCTGACAGGTAGTGCCAAATATGGACCCTGAGGGACTTCAAATAATGCCTCTGCCAGGCACAGTCAGTAGTAGTAGTAGCTCACTGAGTGACAGTAGGTGTCCCCTTCTGCTGCTTTTGCAGTACCTGAAGAAATTTGCACATAATAGCTACAAATAGTATAACAGCATTCTTCAACTAAACTCCCACAAGTAAGTTTCATGACTGCATGGGGAGTAACATGAACTTACCAATCTCTGTGTATATGACGTAGTCTTCAGGCTCTTCCGCATTCGTTGTTGAAGTAAAGCCAGTTGAGGACCTAGTAGACTTAAATTTTTCTGCAAATTGTAAAAGAAAAACAAACATATGCCTGTATACATATATCAGTTTTTCTTAGAGGGAAATAAACAGCTCCATGATATTTTTTGAATTCTTGGAGATCTCATAAAATGTTATTTTCATGGTAAAAATTACTCCTTAACCAAGGGTATTTTTAACAGAATTTCCTTTCTTTACTAAGAACTGTGAGGTCCAATTCCTTCCAACATATATGTGTATTAAATTAGATGTTGCTTTGCTTCCCCCATTGCAGACCTGCCATCTAAAACATAGCTCTGAGGTTTTGCTTTGTCAGTGTCTTGTTAAGTTGCCTGTGCTGGTTAAGAGGACACTTGACAACATCCTAAAATACCAAGTGCTTAACCCTACTCGCCAATACCCTTTAGTGTGTAAATATCATGTTACAACATAAATGAGCACCTCTGGAAAATGAAACAGACATTCAAATAACTCACTTGCTTTATATGAAGGAATTATGAAAAATGGAATTGCCAGAGCAAATCCTATTATGAATAGCAGCAAGATCAGCACAAGAGAAATGATCAAAGGTTGAGAATGGCTTCTCTCTTCTGCCAAAAAGAAAAAAAAAAAAAAGGTGTTTATGCAATGAAATGTTGTTTCATAAGTATTTTCTGTAAATTAAAAACAAGACTTTACATTTCTTTCAGCTTTTGGATTAACTGTGGTTAACGTAACTACTCAGGAGAGTCCCAAGTGCACACTGCCACAGAAGAAGGAAGGGAGCTTCCTGGTGCCAGTAGACTCTCTTTCATAGGGCCAGAGAGAAAAATGGAACCAGACTCTCCCCAAGGAGAGCAAGGTGGACCAGGGGTGTCTTGCAAAAGTCAATCTTTTACAGTCATCCTTCATGGTCACTTGAACCTCTACTACTGCCTAGGCTGCATGGAATTCTATCTTTTTCCATTAATTTAAAAAAAATATTTTTTTATTGTAAAAATTATATTTTGAACATTACATTGCATGAACAAAACTTCTGGCTAAAAAACTTGCATTGTTACAACATTCTGAATTTTGTGTGGTCCCTATTTATCAACAGTGGTAAAATGTTTCACACATGCATACCTGCTAATGTAAAGTTGAAACTGTTGCTGTATTTTGTATTATTGCGAAAGCTATTTTCAGCTCTGCATTTATAGGTTCCAAAGTCACTAGAGGAATTAATAAATAGAAAAATCACAGCTGCTTCATTCTTCTGCATCTTCACTGGGGGAGAAATGCTTTGTCTGCCTTTGAAGAACATGTATGTGATAGGAAGAGAGCCATTTTCTGAGAGACAAGACAGGGTCACGTTCTGGCCTTCCTTTGCTTGAGAGGTGGGTGAGCTCAGCACTGGTTTGGAAATTGGCTCTGTAAAAAGAAGACTGAAAAGTCTGCATCACTGAGTACAGGACAAGCTCCAAAGCAAGACTCGGAGTTAAGCTGCAACATTGGCAAATGAGACAGGCATCAAGGATGGAGGGCTCAGTGAGCCAGATCAGAATAGCACCGCCGACTCCTAAGGAAATAATAGCCGTTTGCAGTAAAGTTCAGCTCCGCAATCGAGGCAGGCACACAATGCAATCCAAAACAGTACCTGCTGCAAACAAAACCCTGACTCCTGCTGCTGCAGATACATTGCATCGGACACGGCTATGTGCCCCTGAAATAAAATGTGCTGAGAAGGTATACAGCAAGACATACCTTTAAGGGTGAAGTTGAGACTTTTGCTGTATTTTCCGCCACTGGAGATGTTATTCTCGGCTTTGCATTTGTATTCACCCACATCACTGGCAGAGTTGATAGTCAAGTTAAACAAACCGGGGGTCAAGTCTGGCCTATTTAAAGTGGATATCTTCTGACTGTGTTTAAACAATGTGTATCTGACAGGTGGAGTTCCAGAGTCTGAGTGGCAGGAGAGGCTCACGTTCTGGTTCATCACTACATTCAAAGTCCCCTGAACAGGTATGAGCCTGGGATTGGACAGCATCTCTGGAAAGAAGAAACTTCTGAGTGAATTCACTGCGCCTATCGTCCAAGAAACTCTCAGATTTTTCCCAAAATATGTTGAGGACCAGGCTATACTTATTTCTGTTGAAATAGGGGCTTACATTTTTTTTCCGCCTCCAGTAGCGGGCAACACAACTTTATATTTTTCAAAATCAGTATGCAGCTTGAAACACTTGATGAAAAATGCATGTCTTCATACAAAAGAGAGCATATACGCACAAAGCCAACAGGTATATCCAGATGAACTAAGAAAAAAAACTTTTGAACTATAGCAGCAATGAAAATAATAGAAGCGTAGAATATAAATATTATGGGACATTAATTGTAGGAGAAAGTAACCTTATATGCTAGTTGAGAGGTAGTATGTGAATCTGAAAGTAAAAATGGTATTTTATTTGTGGCTGTAAACAGGTAGAATTAACCTTGTGTAAGTAGATTGAACTTTTGAATAGTAGCAGCAGGAGCCTTGATGGTCTATCAAATCAGTTTGCTTTTGTGATATTTTACAAATACATTTGTAATAAAAACTTGTAAGGTCTTTTCATAGAAAATGGTAATAAACTAGTCATGACTAAGATAAGTTATGACACTTCTAGAAGAGAAAAAGTTTTAACAACTTAAAGCAATTTTGACTGTACATACATGTCAGCAAAGAGATAGTTAACTTTGTATAGCAACATGTAAACTGCCTCACTGCACAGACAGGGGTGACAGATTTAATTTTACATGAAGGTTTTGGCCATTTTTAAATCCCTCCCCCATTTTTTTGTTATCAGTTTATTTCAGCACATATCCTAAAATCAAAAAAAAAGAGAACCTACCTTTGCCATTTGCAGTAGTTTTCTGAATCTTCTGAGACATTTGAACTAAGAGAAGAAAAGAAAGCTTTCAGACAAGAAACAATGGTTCTTGTTTAGAAGATTTGTAATATGTAAGAAGTATGTCCTTGGCTTACGGTAGGCAAACAGCAGAACTGTGAGAAAAAACATTTTCTTTGCGCAAGACGGCTGGTGGAGTTACATTAATGAGATCTCTGAGGAGTGGCTCTACGGGTTGAGGAAGTCCTAGTGCTGATCTTCACTGATGTTTGTGTAAAGACTTTTGTCATATTCCACTTATGTTTAGCCTATGGCAGACAGAGCAGTGAGCAGCAGCAAAAGCTGCAGAGTGATTAACAGCAGTTCGGGATACAGTTGAATGTTACATAGAGTTGTTCTAAGATGTAGCTGACCAAATCAGCAGTTTTCCATGTGAGAGAGCTGTGTGGTAGAACCATGCTGCCATGCAGTATACAAGACTGTATATAATTTTTCTAGCACTGTTCTTATAAGGGAATGAGTTCACTGATTCATATCAAACAGTCACACAGCTAGAGATAATGCAAGTGATTGTGTGGCTGAGACTAAGGCAGTATGTGGTAGTGGTTTTTTTAGCAGCAATATAATTAAAAAAAAATTGTCAAAAAAAAAAGCATCAAATCTATAGAAGTTTTAAGATGCTAATATTTATAGCTAGCCAGCTTGTTAGGGAAATACTTTGTTCAAACTTCAAATACTAAGCTGTGAGGAAATGAGATCTTGTACTAGAAGGTACAAATCTCATCACGAACTTGAGTTCAACACCACTGCGGAAAAAAATTTGATGACTAATTTGATTATCTAATCAGTAATACAAAGCTACACGATTACAGTAAGTAGATGTTCTTTATTTGCCATCCTCCGGGCAAAGTAAATGTAATCTTTAGCTATATATGGGCATTGCCGTCCAAAGCACCCTAGGCCCTGTTGTGTGTGAAGAAGTAACTACTTCTACAGAATGAGAATGCCTTAAAAGTTTTGTTGTAATCCTTGCCTTATTTCTTTGTCTCTGTTTTCTGAAGGTAACAAGACGTGGCCCTACAGAGTCTGTCTGCTCCTCTGTAATACAAAATCCCTCTGAAAGCCTGGTGTGTTGCAGCATGGTAGTTTCCTCACAGAATTTTGTGCACAACTTCCTTCCTCAGTTTTTTTCCCTCTAATTTCTTTTAAGACAACGTCCACCCTGCCCTCACAAATGTTTCTTATGTGGAAGTGCTGACAGCTAACCACAAGAGTGGCCTATTTTTTTTTTGCAGCTGGCAGGAAGCGTCTTTAAAAATGCAGCTGTCACGAGAAGAACTGGGAGCATTCGTGGGCTTTCCTGTTGTGGGACCCTGGTCTTTGTCAGAAAAACCACAAAAAAAGTCCTTAAGACGCTCGCAGCCGGGTGATGGAGGCAGAGAGGTGTCCCGAAAGCCGCGAAGGAGCCCGCTGTCTCGCCCTCCTGTCAGGAGGAGGAGGAGGCGGCGGCGGCGTCCGGCGGGAGCCTGTTAAGGGCTGTGGCGCGAAGCGATTTGGCGGTACTCTGCCTCTTCTTGTGCTTGCGGGAGGTGAGGAGAGCTGGGCCGCCCTCCTTTCCCCTGGGGCGAGGAGAGCTGGGCCGCCCTCCTTTCCCCTGAGGCGAGGAGGGCTGGGCCG